TAGGGTAGTGCCTGCTGGGTCAGGAAAGCTTCCGTACACAGCATTTTTTAGGGCAGTGCTCTAAGATGTTCTGAAGACAGCAGCAAAATCTGTGTGCCCATAGCTCTCCAAGTCTGTAATTTTACTGTTAACCCATTAATTGGGAAATGCAAATGTCCAAACAAATAAAATCAGAGGCACAAACTAATGAATAGTATTTACAAGAGATACATTAAGAAGTGACCATCTCTATTTTTTAGTTTTTTTAAAGAATTTTCATTGGGTATCTTCAGCGTGTCACAAAGCACTGAGGGCAACTGAGCCCTCCTCCACTCAACCACCCTGTTTCAGAGCCAGCTCTGTCTGTCCTTGGTGAGCATCAACCAGCTTCTCTGCCTGGTTTTCTCACTCATCACATCCCCCTGTGATGCTGCACACAGAACAAATAGCAGCACTGCACTAAGCCAAACACTCCTTGTCAAGTGAGTGCCACTACAATGTAACGATTGATTTGCTGGTGGAGGTCTTGCATATCTGCAGAGATGGAAGCCACAGCCAGGGTTAACAAGTTTCCACATGGAAAATTTATTTACAGCACAATAACAAAAGGACGATTCCTGTTGTTACCTGTTAGATCCCAGCTATTGCAGATTTGGGTTGGCCTCAAAACTTCCTGGGATGAGACGAAGAGAGGGTTATATTTATACAGTCCCAGCACCTCTTCCAGGCAAGTGCTTCCAGCAGGTAGCTGTCTCTTTGGATATTAATGTTCACATATCCTCATTTTTGTTGTCAGCTGCAGCCTCTAGCAACCCGCCTCTGGTAATAACCTTGTCAGTACTCCCTGGACAAGCTGGGAAAGTTGTTTTCTGAATAAGAGCTGCAGTGACATCACCCAACTTTGTGGGAAATGCTGCTGGTGATGCACAAGTGGCATCGACTTCTCCCCTGCCAATTATGTCTGGCACCAGAGCCAGAATATTGAGCTTTGAAAGAACACCATGTTCTAGATAAGACACTGAATCATTACTTGTTTTAGTAACATGTCTTCTCTCTCTGGAAAAAGTGGAATGGAGTCAGTTGTTCAACTTGACTCAATCCTTCAAATGCCATTTGGATGACAAGGTCTTGAGATCTTTACCACACACTCAATTTCTCTCAGCATGGAGGCTGCCTTTGGTTCTCCCTTTCCAGAAGGAAAGGGAGGTTAACAAGAGTATTTGACCAAGTTTGCAGGAGGTGTTATGTAATCAATGGGCTCAGATTTGATATTGATTAGACATTTTTAAGGCAGTGGATTGGGTTGGATTGAAAAAAACCCCATCATTTGCACCCTTTATATCTATGATTCTAGAAGGTCCTTACAGCTAAGAAAAAGGCCAATTAACGCAACAATGGGATAACCCCTAAAATTTAGAATTATACCTTTATTTTTGTTGTTCTTTGAATGAAAAATTGGATCTTGAATTATTATTTTTTCCTGTTTTTGAAAGAGATGCATGATCTTTAAATACCACTGAGCTCCTGTGATATTTACTTTGGAAATACCACGGGACTTTGGAAAATATTTCCAGATGGATAAATCTAGTTTTAAACCAAAACCACAGAATTAAAATGTTGATTGATGTTGTAGGAGATTCTCCTTATTAGGAAACTACCACATTAATAAACTTTTTATTTGTCACTTGGATTCTTTAGAGAGGAATACTTCGTATCAATGCCTATGTGGTAAAAAAAAGTAGCATTCATGTGACTTTGACTCATGAGGCTGTAAAACATCTTGGAATTTTTTGTACATTGTAGGTGAGGCTTGATCTGGAGCAACAGGCACATTTTGCCCTTGGTGGTCAAAAGGAAAATTACAGTGTTTTATGTAAAAATCACAGTGTTAATTTTCTTGTCATGGCTACACTTAATCCTTTCAGAATTCTGTATATATTATATAGAAATGTCACCCATAACTTTCACCTGTCTGCAATGCTCTTCTCCCACCTGCTCACAGTCACACCACGTTGCCATGCCCTGGGCCCTGTGGATCAAAATTTGTCATCATCAATCTTACAGAAGGATTCAAATCAGAGCTGTGTTAAACAGCTGCAGTCCAGTTCTGAAGAATTGTCAAAAAAAAGTAAACATTTCTATTCAACAAAGTGTTTAAAGCTGCCTTAGATTTTTAAGGTGCTCAAAACTCTTGAAGCTGAAGGCATTCAAGAGGTTTTTTTAAGCAAGTTTTTATTTTTTTTTAAGGCTTAAGCACATCATTTAGTAGGCAGTGAAGAATTGCCATCATAGTGTAAGGTTTTGTGGAAAAATTAAACAATTGACAAGCATTACTTTGTGAACAAATTGTAGGTCATTCATGGGGATTAAAGGCCATTTCAGAGATTATTATTTTTCCCTGTGTTTATTTATTTTGGTCTTCTGAAAGCTCAAACAAACTAGAGGTCATTGAGTCTTCCAAGCCTAGGGACAAATATTTGTAAGAAATCCCTTTAAAAATATTAAGAGCAAAATTAGATGGAAATGATTTAATGCAATGGAAAAATAATAATTTTTAAGAGGAAATAATGTTCAATGTTGAAAATTGTAACAATGTTCATTATTCTGTTGGATTTCAGAATAGGCAGCCCCTTCTCACATATTTGCCATTAAAAATGATATAGCCATGCTGTTTGTTCTTTAATTAGTTTTCTAAACACATAAAAAACTAAACTGAATAAATCAAAATGACCTTTAAATTCCCAGAATTACAGCCTATTTAAATGGCCTTAATAAGGTAATAATAACCCAAGCTAATGGTAGTTCTACTTCTCTACCCTGTGTCCTGCCACGTGATAAGCGACATTACTAATTTTAGTGTGATTACAAATTATTCCCATAGTTCAGGTTTAATACAGTATTGATGTTGTTACTAATATAGATTTGTCAGTAAAGATACAAAGAAAAGTCAGTCCCACTTAATGTTGGCTGACAAAACAACTAAAAGAAAAAGAAAACACAAGGGAAAGAACAAAGAAAAAACTGCTGCTGCCTTACAGATTAATACACAGGAGGAGAAAGAAGTGAAAAATAATGAGTCAATTTCATTAAAGGTGTACTTTACCTGAAATAGGGAATATAAAGGGGGAGAAATGTTACATGTAGCAAGTATCTGCTATTACTGGGTTTTTAGAATGATAGCAAGTATTTAATGCTCCTGCTATGCCCTGGTGGTTGATGTCATGCATCAACCATTTTGCTGGTGTGAATCCAGTAAAACTTAGTTTTTTCCTAAATTTATATCATGTACCTTAAAGCAGAATTTGATGCAGCGGTATCTGACATGATATGGTTACTTATTCTACCATATATCTGCAAAATCATACCAGTTCTGCATAGTTTTGTGTTGTCCTAGGCTTGCCTGGCCCTTGGTTCAACCTGTTCTGTTGTGTGCTTTACCTACAGCACTCTATCTCTGAGCTGAAACATAGCAGGTACCATAATCTCTGGGAAATTATGTTGTTGTTTGCTAGATCCCCATTGAGTGCTGTAGCGGGGTCTAAAAGCTCATCTCTCTTGTTCCATTCTAATTTGAAGACAAACAAGCTAATGCAAAGCACAGATGCTCTGAAATAACCTGTTTGACCATGCTCTACGCCAGGAGATAAATTAACATGTATCCATTTACCAGTTCACAAAAGGCAGTCATTGTACTGCATTTCAGCTCTTAGTTTCCCAAATTTCTTTCCATTTGGTTTACATTTAATTAATCAGGGAGCAAAAGGTCCTCTGGATAACTTAGTTTCTTGCTATTTTTTTTTTTTTACCTGTAGAGTATACCAGGAGCAATAACAGACATTGCCTATACAAGAGGTTTGGGTTATCCTCCAGTTAAGTCCAGTGCACCTAATATCCCTTACCTTATTGGAAAGCATTAAAAGTCATGTGTGTGAAGGCTCAAGCATGTGAATATGAAGGAGTAACAAATGCTCCTGTGTCAGCTCAGCTGGGACAGCTCACGTGTATTTACCCTGTAGCAAATATGAGGTAATATGCACTAAGCTTTTAAAAGAAAGACTTTACCCTACTTACCTTGTATTCATCCAGGACTGAGTGTCTACATGGATTTGTTATCACAGTTTAGCTCACGTTTTTAACTAATTACATAAATAAATTATTTGTGCACCTGGCACACTAGGCCAGATGTTGTTCATATGCATAATAAAGAATCCTATCTTGCCTGCAGAACTTGCTTTTTAATCAAACAAGGCAAAGGGTGGTTGTTATTCCCTATTTTGCAAGAGGGTGAACAGAAACGCCATGTGACTGGGAAGCTGACTTGTCCTAGGCAGCTCTACTAATCTGAGGGAAGACACAGGACTGAATTCAGATATCTAATGAGATAGCTGTGAAATAATTTTTCTGATCAGTAGCAGGCATTCCCACCAGAGTAACTCCCTGTTTTTTTCTCACAAATGTGTGAGAAAATATGAGAAAAATATCTGAATACTCAAGAGAAGTATCCCCTATTATTATATAGGGATGATGGATTATTGGGATAAAGCATTCCATGGGGTTTATGGACTCTCTCTTGCAGACTGTGGCGCTTGTGTCAAATGGGAAGGAAGCTCATTGCTAGCACAGCCCTCTTTACAGGTGTGCTCAGCATGTGTGGTTTAAGAACCACACTCTGAAGTTGGTTTGGTTAGATTCAGGCTTCTGCTTGCCCAAAATTCAGAAGAAATCAAGGAAAATATCACAAAAGGATTGTGGATATATTGTACATATTAAAAGTGTCACCTTAAACATCCTCCAGCAAAATCATCAGCAAAAGCTTTCCAGTGAGGAGAATCCAAGAAACTCAATTTGCAGCCATATGTGCTCACTACTCTACAAGATCCACAGTTTATATAACAACCTGGTCTTAAATGTGGTACTTATTTGCTCTAGTACAGATAATTAAACAAGCAGAAAAGTCATGGGAATTATGAGGAATGCCCATTAGTCAAGCATGTGTTTTTTGACCTAATAATTTTACTTAATTCTGTTTAAATCTCATTTTATTTTGCAATAAATAAATATATAAATATAGTCTTACAGCAGAGATTAACAGCAATTTCATTCGACATCTGGAGATACCAGAGCAATTAGGTTTTCACTTGAGGAAAATTCTTCAAACTGATGTTTCTCAACCCTGAAATTAAAAGTAATAGTAAGAAATATTGAAAGGCATCTATTTTTATCCTCCTTTCATCCCAATGAAACTAATTTCCTTTATCCTAGAGATAACAAATACCTAGTAAATACACATGTCCATACTTCCCATAGAGGCCATGCTACATCCCATCCTAAACTTGCCACTCCTTCAAAGATGATGAGCAAAAATGCATTCAAATTCCCCAAACAAATATGCTAAAGACCAAGTCATGAATAGTGCTTCCCTTTTGCATGTTTGCTGTATTCAAAGAGCACTGTAACAAATCTTTAGAAGGGGTGTTTTTCCAGGGGGTTGATTTTCTGGGGTCTTTTTCTCCCTTAAATGAATGGGTTTTTTTTTCATATGGGAACCTGCGCTGACAAATCTTATCCAGTAGAATAAAGAAAAAGAGAAGGGAATTAAATGGAGGGAGACAACATGGCCTAGTAAATAAAGAAACAGACTTGGGGGAATCAGGAGACCTAGATACTATTCCCAGCTCTTCCCTGCAGTGTGACTTTAGGCAAGTCTCTGAGCAAGCTTTCCCTCACCACTCTGTTGTCTATTTATGTTGTAAACTCTTCAGAGCAAGCACCATCCTTTGCTGCATGTTTCTGCAACACCAGCTACAAAGGAACTCTGTTCTGCATTGAAACATCCTACAAATAGTAATTGAAGTAAGCCACCATGATCCACTTGTCAGTGAAAATGTTAATTTACCTTTCTGCAGAAAATTCTTGATAGTAAGCAGTGTCCAGATCATAGGAAAAAAAAAAAAAAAAAACAAACTACTAAAACTGTCCCAGGAATAGACACAGGAATTTAATGACATCAGAAATTCCAGTGCACTGTCCTACAGCAAAAAAATAATCTGGGTTCTGAAAAAATATCAATATAGGGTTTAATAAGAGTACAAGCATGTGTTTTTTCATCTAGAGATAAAGTACATGAGTTCCAAGGAAAAAAAATTAAATTGAGAGGCCTGGTGTTCTAAAAGCACAGTATGCTTGATAGAGAGGAATGATTTTCTTCTTGGGAAAAGAGTTGGAGGGAATAAAGGGACCCAAGTCCTTTCTGTTATCATTTCCCTATGTGCTGGGCATGCTTTGCCTCAGATAAAGTAGCAGAAGCTGTGTTCACCCTTGTACTTCATCCTTCCCTAAAGGAAATTAATATAGACAGAGTGTGTGGAATTGTGTATTTTATCCTCACAGAAAAGTATTAAAATTAAAAAAAAGATGGAGCCTGGCAAGAGAGGGTTATCTACATAACTCTAACACCCACTACAAGGACAGGAGGTTAAATTCTTCTGGCACAGAGCATTAAGTTGAAATGTGGGTGCTTTCCTGCATAGGACACTCTTGTGGATGTTCTTCACTGAACATTTGGAGAAGTGTGCAGGGCTTGAACTTCATGCTGCAGCACAGACATAAAGCTAAGTAATCCCCAAATACAGTCTTATCAGTCTTATTGTTTTTTCTTTAATGCAGTAATTTCTGACATCTACTTGTATAGGCATTCCTAGTTCTAACTGAAAGACCACATTGTGATTTAAGCACAAATCGAGCTTATTCTTTGCTCAGAGTTCAATCACCATTTACATAGTCATTTTTTGCACCTCAGTGAGAGTGGGGAACAGTGCAAATTTTGGAACTTGTGTGGAACAAATCCCAGGTTATCTCAAGCCCTAAAATGAGAGCCATGCACCATGAGCTCTGATCAAAGGAGACACATACAGAACACAACATACAAGAGCTTAGTCCTACATCAAGCGTGACCATATTAGCCCTTCCTAGCAGCAATGTGGCTTTATCAAGCCCAGTCTGCAGATTGTGACAGCCAGCATGTATTGGATAACAAAAGGTCCCTGCAACTCAATATGTATAACTTAACATTAATGCTGCAGGTGCATATAGCCCAGTGGACTCAGGTAGTTATATCACATTTCCAATAGCTTTGAGCTCAGCCCTGTCTAATCATCAAACACTGGCTCCCTTCCCAGAGGGGCTTTGCAGCCCTTGCTGCAACTGATGAACACCTGTGGTGGGTGGACCACAGCCAGCAAACTAAGCACCCACCCTGACTCTCACTCACATCTGTCCCCAGCAGGATGGGGGAGGAAATAGAAGCAGCAAAACCAATAAAACTTGTTCAAGGTTCTAGAGAAGGCAAGAGGGGAAAACCCAAGTGATACAGAGTCAATTGCCATATCCCACAACAAGAATGATGCCCTGCCTGTCTCCAAGCAGCAGCTGGCTTAGAAGACAACCCACACATCCTCCAGTTTTTTATTGCTGAGCATGAGGTGCTATGTGGTAAGGAATACCAAACTATGGTTGGTTTGGGTCAGCTGTCCCAGCTGTGAACCTCCCAACCTCTGGCCCATTCCCAGGCTGGTCACTGCGAGGGGGCAGAGTAAGAAACAGGAGCAGCTTTGACACAGAAAACACTGCTCAGCAACAGCTAAAACAGTGCTGTGTTGCCAGCATTGCTTTAGTCAGAAATCCCACACACAAATATACAGTGTGTGAAGAAAGTTATTTCATACCAGGCAGATCCAGTAAAACAACAGAAATTAATTTCAGTTTGATATATTTGCCCTCATCACCCCTTCTCAGCCTGACCCTTGTGTTTGAAAGAGGGCCAAATACAATCCTGGGATAAACTCTCAGTGAGTTTACTATAATTGTTGAATTTCTTTGAGATCCTTTTAAGAAAAGTGCCACTCAGGACACTATGTCAACCAGTGACTTTCAATGGAGGATTTAATAGTGTATTTCAGAGGAGCCAGCTAAGTAGGAGGTATACAAAAATCTGTCCATGGATCCAAAAATTTTAGAAGTCTGCAAGCGGGGAGCAGAGAGGGAGAGAAAAATTGACTTTAGGAAAATTTCAAGATCATATTGATAATGAAATTTATTTTTGATTAGTATAACACTTTAATTTTAATGTCAGAGACAAAACAATCAAGTGCATTAACAATGCACATACACGAAAAGTTTTTACATTACCGGTGAAGTTTCTTGTCAGCTTCATTTAAAATTATTTCTTTCTATCCTTTGACATATTTATTTGTCTTTGCAATTTTTTTTAATTTACTTGTTTAAAAGTTTTCTGCGTTCAATACCAGCTGGAATCCTAAAATGAAATTAAAACCATGTAGGTGCCAATATATATATTCAATAGATATGAGACTAAATTAAACTAATTGACATTTTATTAATACTCTGCTGTTTGTTCCCGCAGAGTTAAAATCGTACTCTAGATCCCATTACATGAAGATATACTTTGGACCATCTGGTGGCCAAACATTTCTGATTATAAATAAGTCAATTTTTGTTAATTATTTATTTGGGACCTTTTGTTTATTGCACGAAAATCTGGAAAGGGAGAAGAAATAGCTGAATGTGCTGGGGTTCATAATACATCATTCATAAACAAAACTATTTTTTACAGGAAAATCTGGTTGAGGTAGGAGAGAACACTGAATATTTATTTGCACTAGAAAACTCTCTGAAATTATTCTTGTTTGCAGCCCTTTTGGCTTCATTTTGTATGAACACACAGGCAGTTAGAGAAGGCACAGAAGCAGTAAACACTTAGCTGTAATGGTAAACTCTAAGAAGGAGGGAAATTATTTGTTTATCACAGAGAATAAAAGGGGACAGACATTTTATGACATAAAAAATAAAGAAAAAAGGTAAATCCCTTTGATAATGATAATGAAATTTGGGGAGTATTAGCAAAGGAAAGTTGAAGGCTTTTCATCACTGGAGGTCTTCAATAACTTATGAACTACTATCAGAAATTATTTGGATAGAACCAATCTTTTATTGAGGAAGTACATTTGAATTTTTAACAATGGACTACTCAGATTCTCAATACAAATGCCAGCTGAGTTTTCAGGACTCACAACTATGTATCTCCCTATGTTTTTGATAATTGGCATAATTTTGAGCTTTTAACCTTTGATCAAAGTCCTTAATACTGTGAAACATAAAAAGATCATGAGAATTGGCTGGTCACTGGCTTCAAAGTAAATTTGAAATAAATACCAAATTTCATTTGGTTCATTAAAACCCCTGAATTTCTTGCTTTTTCTCATATCCTTTTCAAATGTCTACATTGAAGGAATACAAAAGGCTATAATGTCCAAGAAGCCTTAATAAATAGAACAGTTATTTATCATCCATATCTGAAGCAAAGGCAATACTTATTTCTGAGCTTTGCACAAAACCTAGATCAACCATAGCCACCCAAAACTGGAGGTCTTTGGTCTGTGCCTTTGGGAGCTAGGAAAATTCCTCTCTGACTGCAAAGGAATAAATATGTTGCAGTTAAAAAAAATGTCTAGCCATTGAAACCAAGTCATTGAAGGCACTTTTGAAGGAAAATCAGAAGTTACAGAAATCAGAAATCAGAAGTTATGATAAAACTGAAGAGGAAATTTGTAGGCAGAGGCGGAAAGCTTAGCAGGAATGCTGCAAGAGTGATAAAGTTTGAAAGATAATATTCCTTACTGAGTAGGAATGACAAGCAAATGAAGAAAACAAAATTTCTGTATGAATTTTTTTATTCACTGCTTGCAAAACAGAGAATTATTTGCTATCCCTGACAATCCTTAAGCACACAGGCAAGAGGAAAGGAGTATCAGTCTAGTTCCTCTCAGTTCTTCACCTATTCTCTTCTGCTGGGCTGATTCCATCTCAGTTTTGAGCTCCCTAGTTAGGGGTAATTTCATAATATTTTTATCTAAATATTTTTAATCCTAACAGAGCTTACTATCAAGCAATTACCATTCTTATGCTTAAGTAAAATATTTTCTTCCACTTATTTCTCATGTTGCCTATAATTATGAAGGTGGCTTCTTTTGCTTCAGAGGGAGTAGCATGTGAAAAGTTAGAGTTGGAGTGACCAGTGTATTCTCCTCTAGATGTACACACATATGATCCTGACATATATATGAGGTCCTCAACCAATATTGATATGTACCTCAATCTATTAACATTAATAAAACATGCATAAATATAGAAGTGAACCCAAGTTTAGATATTTGTTTCCCATTATTATGTGGGTTGTCTCAAAAAACAAGATACCATAATCAGTACAAAAGGGAAAGAGAATAAATCTGCCTCATTTTATTTTTGTTTGTTTGCTTTTTTTTTTTATTTAATTGATTGGTTGGTTTGGTTTAGTTTGGTTTAGTTTGGTTTAGTTTGGTTCAGTTTGTTGGTTTGGTTTTTTTTTTTTCCTACTTGATTAGGCCTGTAAATGGGTCTTGGGGAAAAGCCCTGTTTTAGATGAGGGACACAAAGAACTTTACATCACTTCAGTAGCCTTCCAGCCTCAAATGTCTTGTAATAGTCAAAGAAACCATTCCTGACAGCCATTTAAATCACACTCTGTTATAAAACTTTTAATGGTTTATGATGTAAACAGTCTTTGTAGTCATGCAGCACAATTTTCTGTGGAACACAAAATTAGTTCATGAGGCTTTGAGTTAATTCTTCATGGATTATAATGGGTGTTAAACAAAGAAGAAGGATAAGGATAAAGTGGAGGAGGAGGAGAAGGAGGTGGAGGTGGAGGAAAAAAAAGGTGAAGAAAAAGTGTCAGCACTACAGAGTTTACTAGTGACAATATAATTTTTGTTTTGATGGTTTTATTTTGATGGAGTTTTTTTGTTCTTTAGTGTTGTTGTAGGGTTTTGGGTTTTTTGGAGGAGGTGGGGGGTAGGTATTATTTTCTGTTCAAGTGCTATCCACTGGATATTGCCAGTCCTGTGTTTGTAAGATCAAAGAATCATCTCTTTCCATTTTTTTCTGTGAACAGAAAAAATGTTACAGTCCAAGTTTTAGTCTTTTTTACAGTGTAAAGTAGTTCGTTATTTACCATGAAGTTGAAAAATAAATAAAAATTTTGGTGGGAACTGGAACAAAAATGTGGCTGCAAACATGGAGCAGTTTATGTTCAATATGAATAGGCAGCGTGAGAACTGGGACACTCAACAGGAAGAAATGTTTGCCATCCCTAGGAAGGTGAAAAGGCCATGACTGATATGTACATTTTCCCTGGGAAGAAGTAAAGAACAGGGAAGAAAAGCATAGGAAAAGGGATATGAAGTCATCAGAGTGGCACATGCTGGGTGTATTCCCCTGCTTGTAGAGCAAACCAGAAGAGAATAAAAATGGACAATAAATGGGGACACAAAGACCCTGATGTAAGGAAGCAAGAGTTCCATACATTAAAAGAGCAAGAGGCTCTGGGGCAGTGCAACAGGAGCCTGGCAGGAGCTGTGGCAGATGCAGTGGGTCTGATGGCAGAACCATCCCAGTGGGCAAAACTGAGTGCTGTGAACCATGAAAAGAAGAAAGAAATCTTAACTATAGGAAAGCCTGCGGAAATTCTCTTTGGTTTGCACCATTGCATGTTCCTGAAGTATTTTAGAGCAGTCTGACATCCCAGCTAACCCATTTCAAAATGTGTGTATCTGTAAATAAGCTGCTAGGTCTTCACTTTGGGGGCACTGGTTTTCATAGCAAAATGTACTACAGAACTAGGGGCAGCTAATAGTGCAGATTTCCCACAAACAGCTCTGGAAGAAGTGACCTGCACTTTATCCACCAATCTAGAAGCTTCTTTAGATAACACTTTCATCTATTTCCTCTCAGAGTTTGTCAAATTCTGAACTGGATCAACCAGCCCTGCCAATATCACAGGGAGGTATTGTTAAGGATTTAGGGGAATTATTCTTCTCCTACAAACCGCAGGGCTGGTTCTGCTTCCTCCCTACAGAGCTAAGGAACTGATTTGCATGATGTTGAAAAAGAGAAATCTTTTCTGATGTTTTTTTCTTTGAATCCTTTATGTGTAGAGCAGCGTTCATTCCCTCCATGATGGTGATTATTCTGGAACCTGAGTGAATAACTGTGCCTAAGTATTTACATTTCAATATTTTATTAAATGATCACTTGTATTATCCACTCAGTACAACAGGAGCCAACTATGTGGCTCCTTCAAGACTAGAAGAGGCAAAACCATAGGAGGCTGCATTTCTTTCTTTAGGACAAAGTCTAACCAGGAAAGTGCATAACCAGTCATGAGCCACTTATGTTATACCGGCCTTGGAGTGAAAACAAAGCTAACCTTTCTGCATTAGCACAGTTGAAGGATAAAGCTGCTGGCTTTTGGGTCTGGCACAATTTTGAGCCATGCTGTTGCTAATCCAGATCAAGGAGAAATAGCAGAGAGGAAGCTGGAACCATTTTTGTTTCCCTGTTTTAAATGTTTACTGCTCTGTTGACAGCCTACTGTGCTGCTGGTGTATTTTGGAGTGGTCATGTCTACAGAAAATCAAGAGGGACCATGTGTCTCAGTTTTCCAAACCCTGTATATGAGGCCCAACACACTCCACTTACCTGCCTTCAGGCACCTAATAGTTCAGCTCATGGATTTCCCAATATTTGAGGTAAATACAATGCCAAAAATATTATGAGATTAGTGTTTGGCTGTACTATTCACTTTAGAATCCCTAATACTCATTTCTCTTAATCTTGACCAGGTCAACAAGAAGAACTCTGCCTGTCCCTAGCAGTGCTGGGCTGCTTTGGTGAGTTATTTTATGCTTTCAAAGAGCTGTGTGCCTTGTGAATGTCATTACATAGACTGTATGCTTGATCATACAAAATAGGAAATAGTGACCAGAACTAAAGTGAAAAGCTGGCCCTATAACTTCAAAGGAAAGAAGAAAAGGAAAATAAAGTTACCTTCAGAGCCGCTTTTGTACCTGCGCACACTAAGGTTAATCAAATCTTATGCTTCAGAGTATATGGCTGATTAGCTTGTGTCTGGAAGCACTTCCCCTTATTTGCCATTCTACTCTTAGCTGCAGAAAGAACAAAGTTCATGTTAGTTCTAGGATATTTTTTTGTCATTTTTTTCCCTCATTCACTTGCTACAGAAACTTTGAAATCTACTGGCTGTACTGAGAAGTGCCCTATACAGAACAGCTCTATTCTGACAGAGAATTTGGGAAGCCTGCAAGCTTTTATATGTATCAGAAAACAAAATTATTTTGCCCTTATTACTGTGAAGTGCCTGCCTTCTTATGAAGCTTTATGACTGAGAATGAATTATACTTCTATGAATCCTAGAGGTAGAGAAGTCTGTTCTCTCCTGCAACCTATGGAGGTATTTTTGAATTATGATTTAAATCATAGAGAGACTAAATGGAGGCTAGTGTTGCATGTTCTGATTTGTTTTGGTTTTAACTTTCCTAATTAAATAGAAAAGTCCAGGAAAATAAAAATCTCAGGGATTTCCTTCCTTCTCTCTCTCACTTTGTCATTTCCATGTGAGATCCTCTTCATCCTGTCAATCTTCAAAGTCCTGTGTCAACTTACCTATTAATTTTGGTGCTCAGTTCTTTTATAGTCTCTTTTCTTTTCTTTTCTTTTCTTTTATTTTCTTTTCTTTTCTTTTCTTTTCTTTTCTTTTCTTTTCTTTTCTTTTCTTTTCTTTTCTTTTTTTTTGGTTATTTTCACTTGCACATTTGAAGAGGCACTAACTCTGTCCATTCAGTACAGCCCTATCAACTTCATTACGGTTCTGGCAATTTACTCTTGGTGAAGAGTTGGCCATGGGGCCTGTAAGGATTTATGATGTCAAGGTCATGCAATTACAGGCATTTATAATTTCATGAAGAGTTTAAGGCGCAGGTAATTTGCAATGTAATTATTAGGTATTTAAGCACCTGTGTGCACGCCTGGCCTCGCTGACTGTCGCGGGGGTGAAGCACGTACCCGAGCTATCCATAACGTCACAAAGCACCACTGGCAGGGCACGATCTGTTGAGAGTGCTTCTTCCACTCCTTCTCATGCTGCATCCTGGGCATCCCAGCCTATTTCAGGTGATGCAGGTTTCGAATGGTTTTGGAAGGTGGATTTTTCCCCAAAAAAAAGTGGTATCAAATGGGACATTGGATTGTTACATAACCTTAAAAATAAAGTGGGCAAAACTCTCACTGAGAATATGTGGAAAGTGGGGTTCATGTCAGAGAGCACATTGGGCTGTGTGTATTTCATGGCTGTAAATATCAAGCAATCTTGAAATTTATTATGGATTAATTATTCTGCCTTGATAGTCTTGGGAAAGCAAATATATTTTGGCTTCTGAGGACCACTGTGAGTAACAGAAGGGGAAGTTTTAGGCAAGATTTTTTTTTCCTACCTCAGATAAAATTCCTCATGAAGCATCTTGAGAAAAGAAAATTTATGTAACGCCTGACTCTTGTCATTTGCTTTCTATCTGCTTAATAAAAACAACAACTGATTTTTTCCTTGAAAAGGCCATTGCTGAATTGACAGGGAATGGTGGTCAAAGGATTTTTGGATAAGTACCCTATGCTATTGTCCTCAAAGCACCTAAATTGCCAGTAAGCAAAAGTGACTTCCTGTAACTACAGAGGGCTGTTATATGATGGATGCCATATCATGACACACAACTAAAATAATATTAACTACATATTTATTTTACATAAAACAGTCAGTAACAAACAAAAAACAAAGCCAAAAACAAAGCCAAAAACAAACCAAAACCAAAGCCAAAACCATACAACAAACCTTCCTTGCAAGAAAAAAAATCTTGAAATTATGAAGAAAAATGAATGAAAGGTAATTACTCAGATCACAGTATATCTGACCTTCTTGGACTCACCTTACTACTTTGACAAAAAATATATAAGGGTAATAGGGTTTTTTTCTAGTCATAAATTGCCATGATTTACTAGATTTAGTCTTATACCTTGTGGAAGAGAAAAAAACTATTTCTTCTAACTTATATAAAGCAGCAGAAAACATTTTTAGTTCTTTTCCTTTGTAAAAAATGTCTCTTGTCATTATCTCTATTATAAACTATAGCTTTGTTTAGAATAGTCCTTAATTAAATTACATTTCTAGTGTTCAATATGTTTACATCTTTATTGAAGGAAAGAGAGCAGCAGTTCACTTTCAGCTTATGTGTCTGCTTGCAACACTTTCCAAACCACCAGAAAGGAGATGAAATTTGGCGAAGCATAAACATTTATTTTTATATTATACCAGATTTTCAGACTATCTTTATGTATTTATTTATACTGTTTATTAGCACTCTAATGCTAGTTTAATCTCTTTGAAAAAAATGTGTCATCAGGCTTGTAACGAATGATAGATTGGGAAATAGGGAATTGATAATGTTTTGCCATTTCAATGTGGTCTGAAATTCTAGTTTAGATCTACACTTAGGAATTATTTATATCCTCTTATGTCATATCAATTTAAATAATATTCCACTCATCGAGGCATAAAGAATAATGTTAATATTAAAGTTTCTATTTAAAATTTGCTAATTGCACATGAAGGGGTTATATCTGCTGCATTCAGGGTTTTTAAATTTAATTTTATTGTATTAGAAAATCTATGAGGTTAAATCTGCAGAAATTATTGCTTTTAAATGTTGTATAATAAGAATCTTGCTGCTGTTATGAGCACTGAAAAATGTGCCTTCATCTCAAATAAGCCTTGTTAAAGCTACAGTTCTGGAACTGCCAGGATTTAATACTAAATTTGGGCCTGATCCAGCTCAGCTTTACTCATGTGAGTAGCTCTGCCTCCTCTGAAGAAATCTGTGCCTGAGCAAGGGTTACTGGAGATCCCTGTGCAAAGTTATTGATCTGGGGAAAGTCTGGGAATGGAGAAGAAATAGGGATGAGTATATAATTTCCACCCATCCAGGCATTGGCTTCTAAAATTAACGTGTCCCAAAGGAGTCTGTTTTAGAGGCAAGGGATCAAATAAAAAAACTGAAGCCTGTGACAAAGAACTAAAGGACACTGAAGATTTGTTTTGACCCATCTCCACACACCTGAATCAGGTGGGCGGAGTCACAGGCCAGTAGGAAGGGTGAGGACTTGGCAGCTCCATGCAGATGGGAGATTCCTCTGCCCTCTGGCCACTCTCAGCTCCTACTCAGGGCAGCTGAGGTCCAAAATCACAAAAGCACATTGTCAATAAGAGTTTGCTTGATCAGACCCCTCAGAAGAAGTCACCAGAATCCCTTTATCCCCTGGGAAAGGAAATTATTAAAGCAAGTATGAGTCTATTGACTACTGCACTCATGTAGAAAAGTCATTGACTTCACTCTCAACAGGAAGCAGCCCAATATGCCTGTAGAAGTTATGGACTTAAGTGAGTGACACTTTTCTGGTTGTAATGCCAAAAGACAAATCAAGTTATCTTGCTTTTTGCTCTGAGCACAAATAATAAGTTTGATTCTCTTCCCACTTTCATACAGTGACATCATTCTGGAGGAAAATTCTTGATGACAACAGGATTAAATCATGAGAAAATTGATGAGAGATCAGAACATATTTGATCTGTCTATGACTGATATTTTGAAATTGCTGAAGTTTTAAACTTTCAGATTCACATTGGGCAGGTCTCTGTCTTCTGACAACATATGTTTTTAATTTTTAACCCTAGATGAATTTGAGCAGTTTAATATTTAATTTCAATTAATTATCAAAATATTAGGATTCTTATCCCAATGTCTTAAATTTCCTGAGTTTGAGCTATCTGCCTTGAAATCTTCCCAGGACAACCTACCACCACATTAGATCAGTTTTGTGTCCTAATTGGTACCATGAAGAAAAAACACTAATCAATTAAGTTGTCAATTAACAGACAAACAATTCTTCAGCATCCAGGGAGGTTTTCTTGCAACATGAAGTGGGAACTTTTCTATAATCCCTGGACAATATTTATATTTCCATGTATACATATGTATGTGTATGCACGTGCACACACGCACACACACGCACACACACACACACAAAATCACATGCATAATTTAAGGGTCTCCTTAATGTTATTGCAATTATTTCCCCTCCAATCTTTAGTGCTGCTCTAGAAGGAATGCTACTGAGCTCAAACGATGACACTGATAGCTGAGAGGCATTCGTTTTGCAGCAGCTAATTAAGCGTATGAAGGCCACGTGAAGGATTGGTTCTATCAGCACACACTCACCATCAACAGCCTGTCCCCTGCAGGGTTAAGAAGACAGCGTTAAATGATCACCTGTCCCAAACACCAAATGACAGTTTCAGGGTAGTAAATGAAGCCTGGGGTTATTGACAGATAAACTTGATTCTTAGCTTTGCAATCAAAGGAAGAAAACAGTTGAGGAAAATCACCTTCTGAAAGCTTGGAGACCTCTAAACAGAATTTTGCGTTGCCCCCTTTTTATGTGTTTTCCAGAGATGCTCCTTGGGAGGAATTCTCATTTCGATGAATGTTCAGGCTATGCAAATCTTGAGCTCACAGCTGACACCCCTTGCAAGCCCCGCCTGCCCTCCTCTAGGGATGAATTACCCCTCCGGTACAAATTACACATGCACACCAGATGGGGTGAATTGAATTCTCTAACTAGGAACAGAGGGAGAATGATCTTGTGTTTAATATGAAGGTCAGGGACTCAAGAGACTTTGATTCTATTCCTGGCTCTGCCCCAGACCTTGTATAACTTTGGGTGACTTGTTTAATCGTTCTGCCTTGGTTCTTCTCATCTATAAAATGGGAATGGTAATACTGTACTACGTTGTCAGGGTGTTTCAAAACTAAATGACTGCTGGTAAGATGAACTGCAATCTATAGCTGAAAGAGAGCACAGACAGGCCATTTGTTACTGCTAATAATCATTTGGGGCAGGAACTTCGTAACTTTCTTTTGTCTTCTAAACATATATGTATTCAGGCTCATAAGTCAATTTTTAGGGGCGCTTTGGAGTAG